TCACCGTCCTGGCAAGGGGCAACTTCCGAAAATGGTCGATTCAAATATGGGGGGGTACCAGTTACAAAATGACGGTACCCTTAGCTGGTTTGTCCAAAGCAAGTAGTACATAGATGTACATGTTGATGTTGATTGATGTTGATGTTGATGTTGCCAGTGTTCAGTTCACAGACTTTCAAAATTAGAGTGAAGTGCAGGTGGTCTGTATCCTAGCTGCCTACTCTCAGCTCTGACTCAACGCCATTGGACCAGCACGATTGGCAGCAGCATCCAGGTAGCATCAGCCGCCAGTCTGGAAGATTGGCACTAGAATCAGCCTAAATTCTGGGACAACCGCGCCAACTTGGCACCACCTTTGCACTTCCAGGACTCTGTCCCCGCTTGTTGCGCAACCAATGTCAGAGCTAGCACCGCCCGTGCACTCACACTTCTTCCACAAAATCTGCCATGCCTGTCTGACTGCCTCTAAGCACCGCTCGCTCCCATGTTCCTCCGGCCGCTCTTTGCCCGCTCCCTCCCCCCCTTGGCACCTGCGTGGCCCGCCGTGCGCGCAGTGTGGCCGCCTTCGTCATCGGGCTTCGATGCCCACCCGGGGGCATGCCCGCCGCGCGGCTGGCCCTGCCCTTCCCTGTGGATATGGCGGGGCTTTGTTTCATCCCCGGCGGACTGTGGGCAGCCATCACCTGAGACGCACCCTGAGGTGAGGGACCTTTAGAGTATTGGTGGAGGAGGACATGCCGAAGAGGACATGGCCACAAGTGCGAATGCAGGCCGGGAATGTGGACTGGCGAGCAGCGAACCGGAACGAATTCTCCGAGGTTGAACCGTTAGAAAGAAGGGGCCTGGTTCTGGTCAACGAGAAGCTCAGCGCAAATCCACTGGCATGTGGTAACTTCTTTGGATTGAATCGAAGACGCGCCGTCTGTGACACGCGGCAATGCAGATGGTGGTGTACATATGCTGAACCCTGTCAGAATGCAGTCCGCTGTCGTACCCCAGCTCTCCATGTTGGGTCTGTTGTGTCAACATCGCTGCCCTCGTCTTGGCCCCCCTCATGCTCTTTCTTTGGCCAGCTTTCCATCTTCTCCAAACTGAACCTTGTGCGGGGGCTTGCTGCCTCCCCCTCTCCGTTCCTCTAGTTGCTTGCCCCCGGCGAGGTCACCCCGGGCATCTCCGCTGCGGAGTATGCGGCGCGCCGCTCCGCTCTGCTGGCCCTGCTACCCCCCCGCAGCGTTGCACTCCTACCTGCGGCCCCGCCTGTCTACATGGCCGGGGTCATTCCATACCCGTACCGCCAAGATGCGGACTTCGCATACCTGACCGGGTGTCTGCAGCCGGGCGGCGTGGCGGTGCTAGAGAAGCGCGGGGGGGCGGACGGGGCGCGCTTCGCCATGTTCATGCCCCCCAGGGATGTTGTGGTGAGGCGGCTTTGGGGCACCTGGTTGTACAGCAGGCCAGCCATTGACGCTTCCGTCAATTAGCTCAAGCAGCACTTCCTTCTATGCACCCTACTCGTGGTTTCGTTTGCTAAAGCGTGGCTTTATCTTCGTGCCCCCAGCTTGAATTCGTGCCAGTATTGTTAGGGTGCCTGCCACGACCACTCCCAAAGATTCAGCTGATTCTAGTTCCATGTCACCGGGATTTGTGGCACTGCAGATGGTCTGTCTGGCCCCCCTTCGATAATATGTCAGTAACGATTGCCTTGTTCTGTGAATTTCGTGTGGGATCAGATGACAATGTCTGAACCAAACGGTTCATCAATGTTTGTGTCCACCCCACTTTCTTCTTTCCTTCAAGGTTCGAAGCTTCGGTCTCTTGCTTCCAACAATCCCTTGAAGTATCCATTGTCTTTTCCTTGCGGACATCAGTTTCCACCAACAGATTGGTGACACCAGCGAGATGAACTCTTTGCAGCGAGAGCGTTGGGACGGCCCCCTTGCTGACTCGTCTGCGGCGCTGTCGCTGTTTGGTGCGGATGAGGCGCCGCGGCTCGAGCAGCTAGGGGGGCACGTGGCTACCTTGCTGAGCGCGGGGGTGCAGCTCTTCTATGACGGCAGGGCCGCTGACCCGGGCCTGCACCGCGTGCTGCCCGCACTGGGGCGCGCACTCGAGCAAGGGTGAGCCAGGCGGAGCCTCCCGGAGGGCAAGGACGAAGATGACGTGAAGATCTGGATCCAAACTCGGAGCTAACAAGGACTCCGGTAAATGATAAAAAGGGCGATCAGGCGCAGCAACTGCCTGCTTGAGCCTGGTACGCTGCTTGCCTGTCGTTTGATTGTTGAAAAGGGTGCAGCAAAATCCTGTCAAAGCTGGGTTTGGCTGGGGGTTTCAAAAAAATTTAGCAACTGCACGAGGGATTCTGCCGCATGGCTTGCTGTCAGGCTATCCCTCCCCGCTTGTGCAGGCTGGTGCGTCCACTGCGGCCCCTCGTGCACCGTCTCCGGTGGAAAAAGTCGAGCGCCGAGGTGCGCCCGCCACTTTGTCGGAAAGGTGCTTCCGGGGCTAGCTCGTTCAGCAAGGACAGGTGCTGCTGTCGACTTTCAAAGCCGTTGTTCGAGTCTGTTGGAACCGTCCTCTATGAAGCCCTGATCTTGTCGATAAGCTTGCTTACATACTAATTGCTGAAGCCTCTTCTCTTCTATGTGGCAGATCGAGCGCATGCGGGCTGTCAGTGCGGTTACTGCGGCTGCTTTCAAGGAGGTACGCAGGCGAAGAGTGCCTTTCCTTAGAAATCTCCCCCGGAAGTCGGTTTCCGAGTCTTGCCGTTGTCCTGGAGCATCTCCTGGCACATCGTCTACCCCTTGTCCTTGCGCTTTGTCCAGAGATTCTCCGGTACACTTCTTCGTCGGTAGTCCCCTATCAACAATAGGCTCAAGCATCCGGCATTCGCTTCCAAGCAAGCCTTCCATTTGGAAGTGTCACCGGTGTCAGAGGTGTTGCGACATCCTGAGTCTGTTCCGCGCGTCGTGGCTGCAGGGCATGCGGGTGTCTTTGGAGAGCCGTCACGAGCATGCAGTGGCTGCCGCGTTCGAGTACGAGTGCAAGCGGCGAGGGGCGCAGCGAATGGCGTGAGCAGCCCCTGTCCGACAGCCCTGCCGCAGGGCAATGCGCCTCTGAAAGGCTGGTCTCTCAAGGTGCCTGGTGTGGCCTTGCGTGCACAAGTGATTTGGCAATGCCGCAAGCAGTGTCCGCAGCCCTGTGCGGTTGCCTGCACGCAGCCACGTTAACGGGTGCTAGGCGTGCAGGTATCCCCCGGTGGTCGGTGCGGGCCGCAACGGGTGTTGTATCCACTACAGCCGCCACGACAAGCAGGTGAGGACCGGAAGACGCGGCAGCCGCGTCGATCGCTCACGGAGAATGTTGGGGTTAGGTGCTCGATTACTTCAAGCGAGTCAACCTTCCCGCTCGAGGGCTCCCACGCGTGCACCGGCACTGACTGCGGGGCAGCAGCGCCCAACGCAGTCAGCGACTGCCACCTGGCATGAAGGATACACCCTACACCCCTGCTCATCACCCAGACGCTTGTTCCCGCTTTCTGGCTCCAACTTTCTGAAATCTGCTTGACCAGTCCTCAATTCATTCCTGCACATCTTCCAGACACTCTTGTCAGAGTCTTTGCTGTGCGTTGTAACTTGTATCTGTCTTGACCCGCGTGCGGCTGTGTCTCCAGTAGGCGCGGCCGGGGGAGCTGCTGACGATGGACGCTGGCTGTGAGCTGCACGGCTACTCCTCGGACGTCACGCGCTCGTGGCCCGTCGCGGGGACCTTCACCCCGGACCAGGTGAATGCACTGCGCGGGACGCCTGCCGCCTTGTCTTTCCAATCGGAATTGGATGCGCGTAGGTTTTGAGTCTTCCAGCAACGACATGGTTAGATTGGCTGCTCCCTTTCTCCACTCCTGAGGAGATTGCCCTCACGTTCTCCCTTCGAACATTGTCGTCTCCCCGTGAGTCAGCCCGGGCTGTTGGCCTACAGCCCCGCTGCATGTACTGGCTTCACCGCAGCCCCACTCGCCGCTGGCGCTGGTCTGCCTCCCTCATCCTCCATTGCCGCTGCGTGCAGGCCCGCGTGTACAGTGCGGTGCTGTCGGTGTGGCGCGCGTGCCTGGCCCTGTGCCGCCCCGGCCGCACCCTGCACGACATCCACGCCACCTCGGTGAGCGCGCGCATCCTGCAACAGTTGTGATACACTCGGGGCCGTGTCTTGGCTCTGACTGGGAGTACGTGCTTCAAGGTTCCTACTCGACGCACCCACTCCATCTGACTCCCTTCTGTAGATCTCAAGTAACCCCACCCGTCTTCGTGGTTGCTCCGCAAGTGCGTGCTTTTTGGCCTGCTGAATGTCCCGTTCAAACCTAGCCCCCGCTGCGAGTTTCTTCACGTTGAGAAGAGGGCGTCTGCTGCACCCCGATATGCACTCACGAGCCTGCTCGCCGGTCCCCTCGACGATCCCACCGCGAGCATCTCGTTTCCGCCGCCTCTCCTCAAGACAGCATGAGCTCACCAATTTCTCTGGGTTTGGCCTCACCCTTCCCGGCCCCATCCTGGAAGGTCGCCGTTCTGCCCCCCCTCTTTCCTTGGAAACAAGTAAGGTAGCGCGTCCTCTGGTGTCGTGCGTCCTCGCCGCAACGCCCGCGTATGGCGGCCTGGTGAGTAACGTTGCCCCCAGAACTCAGCGATGGATGGTGGTGATACGCAGGTGGCGCTGCTGACGTCAGCGATGAAGGAGTTTGGGGCGCCGCTGAGCAGCCGGCTGCCGCACACGCAGCCGTACACGCGCTTCTACGCGCACTCGGTGGGGCACTGGCTGGGTGAGCGATGCCGCAAGCAAACGTGCACGAGCAGAAGCGCGGATATGACCGCTTGAACGTGCCTGACAGCAGCGGGGTGATGCTTCAAGTGAACGAAGCTTTGACTGGCAGTCGCAGCAGAGCGTGGCCAAATCCGGGCGGCTGGTCAGAGAGGATACCTGGATGGAAAGAAGACAAAAAAAGACGGGGCTGTCTCGATACCTTGACTACGTGCGAGCACAAGAACATTCAAGAAATGTGTTGCATGCTGGCTTGGCAGATCCATTGTGGCATCCTTGTGCCGGGCGCACGTGGTGCAACAAGAGCTGATCCCCGCGCGGCCCTGACCCCTCTCACTTTTGTGCGCTGCCAGGCATGGACACGCACGACTGCGCCACCGTGAGCCTGACCACGCCGCTGCAGCCGGGAGTGGTGAGCGCCGGGCGCGTCGCGCATTTACCCCCGATTGCCTAGGAACCTTTTCCTTCCACTCGCCGGCGTCGATATTCCTGGGCTCCTTCCCCAGTGCTCCCTGTGTCTCCCCCGGCTTGTTCCTTTCCCCCTCCCTGACCCCTGCCCCGGGCCGCTGCAGGTGCTGGCGCTGGAGCCCGGGCTGTACTTCCCGGCCCACCCCGACACGCCCGCCTGGTGAGCCGGCCCCACCTCTCGGCCTGGGCAGCGGACGCCCGACGCCTCCAAGTGATGCGGGCCGCATCAGAATCTCTTGTGACCTGCATTCCGACACGGATTGATCCGTGGTGCGGCTGTAGTGGTTGCCTCGTTCCTTTATGGGCGCCTGTTGGAGCGGTGTGCAGGCTTCCCAGGGTTGTTAGTCCTGCCGTTGTGCGCTGCGGGCCCATGTTGCCTGGAAGTGACCAGAGACATTCGCTTCTTCCATGGTGATCTTGGTCGGTTAGGCTGTTCTTTTGTGAGTGTTGTTTACCGGAAGTTGCTCCCCCGTGGCTGCGTGCGCAGGCTGTGGGACATTGGCATCCGCATCGAGGACGACGTGCTCATCACCGACGGGGAGCCAGAGGTACGTCTCAGAAAGTACGCTACACGCTGCTCATTGCTAATGTTCTACGTGCTTGCGCCTCTTACATCTCAAGCATTTCTCGGTGGTGGCCCGGCGTGACCCCACGGCGCGGGTGGGGTGCAGGTGCTGTCACAAGGGGTCCCCCGCGAGAAGGACGACGTCGAAGCCCTGCTCCACGACATGGCTGCTGCGGCAGGCAGGGGAAGCCCGTAGCCGGGTGGGGAAGGGGCGCTGTGAGCTGTTGGTGGCCTGTGTATTGGGAAACCTCAGAAAGCTAGGCACAAGCGCGCGTGGTGCTGTCAGACGGACGAGTTGAAGAAGAGCTAAGCTTGCGTGCTGCAATGGAAGCTCTTCCAAATGCGATCAGGTCATTTCGTCGTGCCCTACTTTTTACAGACAGATTGACGGAAGAAGGGGACTCTAGGAAGAAGGGTCGGTCACTGAGCTTGCTATCCCGTAAGCTCACCGTAGCGTGTGCAATATTCGTAAATGGTTCTGTCGACGGCTTCTCGTAGTACAGTGACCCGAAGTGCAACTGTTTGCGAGGTCTGTCGTATCTTAGGCATGCCAAGCTTCCATGCACCGACCCTACTCAGCCACGCATCAGTGCAGTGCACATGAGCGAGAGTGATTTACTCAACTGCATGCTGTGAGTAATTTTGAGCGCGTTAGCTCTCATGGGATCACGAGCGAGTCTGGTCAGAACCTTTTTGTTGACATGTTGGTCAATGCATGACCTGCATGCAATCGGGCCTGAGCTGAGGTGAATCGATACGCGTGCATGCCATGCAAATTCTTTGCAAATAATTTTCATTGGCCATCAGAGTTGCAGCGCTCATGAGCTCGTATCGTAAAGGTGCAATTTATTGCGTGGATGTAACATGTTTGTGCCTCCCGGCACACATGATGCAGTCATCTCAGTATCTGATGGTCGATTATCGCTACGGCTCACGATCGGTAGGTAGATCTACATCACATGCCACATCAAATACCAAACAGGAGAACGGACGCATGATGCGCTCGAAATGGTTCAGACATGCCCATATAGAGTTATTATAGGGTTTTGTAAAATTCTATAATCAGCGTAGAGAATTGTGGTCTGATTGGCGATTAAAAGCAGCTGGTCGTCAAGAATAGCTGCCATTCACACAAGCAAAAGCAACTGCATGCCGTTGAAGAAGAGGAGACTCTCCTTGCGACGAGTGATTGAGGGCCAACGCACCAAATAAAACAGCCCCTTTCAACAGTGGCCGCGACTACCGTTGATGGACAGAACACTGCCACCCTGTTTGACTTTGATCAAGTCAAGCATACACAGCCAACATTCTCGTAGCCTCGGTCCTCAGAAAAGTCAGATTACATCACTCAAGCCAGCTTGATGGAGGGGTTGATTCAGCACTTGTCAGCTTCACTTGGTCAACAGGATGTAACCATGAAACCACCCGTTTTCACTGCGCATGCATACGGCACGCTGGCCTGCCGCGTAACGGGACCTCCTCGACCAGGTACTTGCCCGGCTCAATTTCCGATGCCTCCCGCAGGATATCGGCCTCAGTCACAAGCACGGAGCGCTCTCCCCGCATGGGAGTGAATGTCTGCACATCGCAAGCAGGCCTCAGTAACAGGGTCGTGAGACCAAATTCACCCTGCCTTTTTTGGAGGGACAAAGTCCCAAGATTTTGCTTGGACACATGAAAAATATACCATCTCATTTCAAAACAACGCGCAAAGGGGGAAAACTGCGGGTACAAACAACAAGCAAGGTGCCGCTAAGGGGTTTGAATAAAACATATTGGATTTAAAACAACAAGTTTTTGCTGGGGTCCCTTACCTGCAGCTGCGCATACAGCTCAAACTTGTGCAGCATGTAGTCGTACACGTGGCGCATGCTCAGGTCCTCCTCAACAAACCGCAGCCCCGCCCGCCCAATAGCCTCTGCTTCCGCAGGGTGCGCGTTCGCCCATGTGATCTGCAACCAAGAAACGGCGGCTCACATTTGGGAGCGAACGCAGTGGGAAGAGCATGAACTGAAAGACGACACCTCCAGTTATCACAATCAATCTTCTACATGAGATGAAAGCAGGTCTCGTCCTCAGAACAACAGCACAAGATGTGCTCTGCCTAGGTCAGATGTGATCTCGAAAGGACTCCAAGAAGCAGTGCGGTGCAAACCACGAGAGGCCGTCTCATTCAGCCGCCAGCCGCACAACCAACCGAGCAGCCGGGGCTGATGACAACAACTGTCGGATAGAGGAACATGTCAGGAGGCTTCGAAGTCTAGGTGTCTGCTGAGCGGCGAGCTCAGAGTCTCTCCTTACACCAGTCTCCTTAGTGCGGTCTCATGGCAAAGCGTTTTGCAACCCGTAAGCTCGCCTTGCCATCCAGCAAACGTCAGGCCGTTCCAACTTAACCCGACACAACGCAACCTTTACACAACAAGTCGCTCAAATGACTCTTCCTCTCATCAAGAAGGAAGGAGACACGAGTCGAAAAGAATCTGAAGGAGATGCCATTCGTAATCCGCCGGCGCACCTGTTCCCGGAAGGACTCGCAGAGGGGCACGCGGCGCACGAGCAGCGCGTTGGTGCCATAGGCCAGGCCGGGGTGGTAGAAGGCGGCGAAGAAGGGGTCGATGACCAGCATGACTGCGCCGCACGCCATGCCGTACTTCATGCTCACGCTCCACGCAAAGCCCTCCGCGTAAATGCGGTACCTGCGCGACAACACCCACGCGCGGGGGCCTTTGACGTTGTGGTTCGGGCCGGAGAGATCATGCCACAAGCTGCGTTCGTAGCGTATTGAAAACCTCTACACGCAGTGTTTTCTGTGCTCCGAGGGTAAACACCAAAAGCTCGAAAGGAACCGCTTCAAACAAGCCAGGTTTGACACTGCAAATCATAGCGATGCTCCGAGCGCTTTGCTAAACTCCTGACCCCCAAGCACGTCATGTCCCCCCGACTTTTAACATCGTCTTGAGTGTCGGGCTAAAATCAATAACGTGGACAGCGTCTGCCATACCATAGTTACGATGCAAGCCGGCGACTGCAGGAGCCCAAATGGAGCTGGACCGTCAAGGAAATGTCAAGCCGAAAGAGTTGCGATGTGCAGATGAAGCTGCGAGTCCCTTTCCTATCTTGTGACGGCGCCTCACCTCCAGCCGCACTGCTCCCACTGGCGCGTGTCGCTGAACCCTCCCGCCCGCCAGTCTTTTCCGTATGCCTCCACCCCATTGGCCGGATCCGCGGTGCAGGCGGTCAGATTGGCGCGCAGCCCCGCAGTGAGCCCCGCAGTCACATCCAGGGCGCCCTTCCAAAACGCCTGGCAGGAGCGCACAGCACATCAGCCATGGAAAGAGAGGCATTTGCGTGGTTGTAGTGAAAGTGTGGGCTGATGACAATGGATGTGGCAGGTAACAGGAAAATAGGAGTGACAGGGATCCCCCAGAACCAGCAAGGAAGGCCACAGCAGCATGGGGAAAGGGGCAGGCTAAACTTTGCTCCCTGCCCAGTGTTCAACTCCCAATGGCTTCATGCCCTCAGTGTCCCCCTTAACTAGGTGCCAAGTGTGTGACAGCACTCGGTGCGGGCCCTTCCCAAACTTGGGCCATGCGACACGACTCCTTGGCTAAACACAAGTGAATTGTATCACCCACCACTGTCAAACAAGAAGCAAGCGAAGCACGTGCTTAAACAGCGAAGCTGGACCAGGGCTCCGCACCGTGGCTTTCCGCTCCTCCCAGTCCGCGAATGTCCTCCCCGCATCCATGATCTTCTGGCCGTGCTCCTCCCAGCGCGTGATCTCCACTTCCGGCCACCCCCAGAACGACCAGTCCGGCAGCGTGAGGTCGATGCTCTCCTCTTGTCTGTTATACCCCCAGAGCGCAGGGATTGGATCACTGGGGTGGGGGCTCCGGCGGGCCTGGGGCATGTCCCCGCAGTCAAACATGAAGTCCACGTCCGGCACAACATCGCCAAAGTGGCGCAGGAACATCAGCAGGCCCCACATGCTGTACCGCTTCCGGGTCTGCACAGGGGAGGGGCCAGGGGTTGGTCCATAGCATGCGTTGGAAAGTATTTGTGATGAGACAGCCGAGTCCTGGGAACGCTCAGGAGAAGTCACCCGAAAGTCAATCTGATGCCCTTTTGTTTTCTTTCAAGTGCAAAAAGTGGAGACTTATGACACCAATGATTGAGCAGGCTCCTCTATCAAGGCATGATTACGTATCCACACGGGCGCCCCGCGCAGCCTCACCTGCCAGCACCCCTTGAAGTCCTCCGCATAGAGAGAGCCATTGATGATCTGAAAGCGACTGGACGCCATTGGCTGTGCCGCCTCCACGTCGGCGAGGTCAATTCCCCCCTTCTCCTGGCAAGCAAGACCGAGGATTGCCTCAGAAGAACAGCGCATCAAAAAGGATTGATGCAATTTCCCAGAGGAGACTGTCAGATATGGTGCTCATCTTCATTGCAGCGAAAGATCTGCTGATCAGAAGAAGGCACTGGTCTGGGGGGCAAATGTGCAAGCAGTCACTTTCTGGGTCAGCTCAGCCAGTCTTACCACCAGCCTACTCAGACAAGGACGAAATCTCATATTTTACTCTCAACACCGTAGGAACTGCAAGCAATGAAGCTAGAGAAGAAACAGAGGCGTGCTAACAACCACTGTCGCATTTTCAGTGTGTGCTCTTGGCAGTCCAAGGCGTCACCTTCCAGGGGGAGAACTCGTCGGCCACTGCAGCGAACCAGTCCGGGCACTGCTCCACAGCTTGCGCCGGCAAGAACAGGCTGGGGACATAATTGGAGAACCGCGCCTGAGATCTGGAGATCAACGTAACTATGCTGAACACAACAGCGACAGAGAAAGTCCAAGCAAGGACTCTGCCCTTTCCATCTGCAGCATACTTCACCCGAGGCACTGCTTTTTCTTTGTAAGGAAACGAAGACCTCTCCGGATCAGACTCGAGGTCTTCGTGTCCTGTGCCCAGCTCAGGCACGTTTGGGGCGGACATACCGAGATGTATTCACGTCAGATTCCTCCAAGAATGCCTCGCATCTTGCGAGAGGGATCCCCAGGGAGCCTGGCCGGGAGGCTCGAAGCAGGCAGGCTGCCACAGGCCTAAAGGCTGCTCTCAAACAAATACCTTGCACACGCCCTGGATGCAAGCTCTCCCAACGTGCAATTTGGATTGAATCGCCTCCGGCTCAGCCCGCCCAGTGCCCTCCTTCGAAGTGTACTGCGTATGTACGGTTGTACCACTGTGTACTGGTATGGGTACCCGGTGAGTTCAATTTCAGTTGGACTATCTGCCTTGCGATGTACATCCATTGATGATCCAACGGCCTGCATATCTTTACTTCCGGCAGTATCTGGCCCGCAGCCCTCGACCGGGGCCAAGCGTAGACTCTAGAGCACTACCGGTAACCGGTAGTACTCCTAGACCGGGGAAGCCTCGGCGGACCTGGATTTGAGGACAAAGTTGACACCTGCTGTAGTCTGTAGGTCCCAGCAGCTCGATCACTCCCAACGAAATCATCATCCTGAGATCATCCTGTCTCTAGCTGAAGATGGTCAGGTGCGCAATTGCGGGTCATTTATCTGGAAGGAAGAGAGATCAACAACTGCCGGCGCAACCCTTGATCCCACTGAATTTGTTGACTGATACGGATATATACATTGCGTAATTAGGCTATGTAGTACGGTATGTACCGACTTTTTTCTACTTGCAAGGCAACATGCCCCATAGGTATGCATTTTTGCATGAACTCCTTGTGTACAAAGCTAAACGATTGATAATGTTTCTCTTTTCAAACGCCATAGCCACACGGGCCATAGGCTTCCATGGCATGCAGGATAGTAGCAGGCTACCGTACTGATAGTTGGAAATAGAAGCCAATCAGCTTCGAATCTAGAAACGGAAAGAGGCTGATCCAAGTTGTACGAGTTTTGGCAATACACCGATACCTGAATCTGCTAACCTGATGACGTCGAAAGGTTCCAACCTTGACATCTGATCATAAAACAGCGACTGTCTCTAATTGACATTGTAACCTGGTTGAGTCTCCTACCCGAACTAGATTCTGTGGATAACGTGAAACCCAATGATCCCCAATTGACTTCCTGAATCCTATGTATGCCACTGTGCGAGCTGATTCTACAACCGTCTCAACTTATTCTGATCAGGTACAAAAGCCAAGCATCACCCTCCGTTGCGGAGCGATCTCTGCTCGTCACAGCGAGCGCAACTCTTCTACGATCGCCGTCCAACCCGTTTCCGGCTAGAATGACGCAGCGTGGCCGCTTAGCGGGCAGTCGCTGAGATGACTACTGCGGGGCCGGTCGGAGGTGCGCCTCAATTGCCGCCCGGATATCATTTGGACGCACCGACTTGCTCAGGAACGAGTCCATCCCTGCAAAATATCAAAAAGGTGGGCGGTAAGCACTTGCTCAACGGACAACAGACCTCAACCACCAGCTCAAAGCAGAGCTCAGAACAGGCTTGGGGACAAGGAAACCTTGCAGGAGACCAACAGCCTTTCAGCTGTTGCTGTAGTGTCCATGAGATTTCAAACAATTCTAGGGACACAAATCTCCAAACCGGTCCAGGTTTGCCCATAAGAGAATAGCGTGAAACCACCATCCGATTGGACAGTCTGTGACAATCGTGGATAGCAACGGTGAGCATTTCGTCGATCATCCCATGTCCGACCGTGCAGATTTCTCCTGATGGGTCAAGGCGAGCTGGAGTGCTTACATCATTTGTCTGACAACTTCTCAATTACCGGGACCTGTCTCACAATTCTCGCTTCTTAGAAACAGGCTGTACTTCCTCTCCTCCAACATTCAAAGAGTACCCAGATCTCTGTGCGCATGCGGAAAGGGTGCAAAACAAACAGCGCGCGCGGCCTGACCTGCTTTGGCGCACTTGCGCTGGTCCTCCTCGAGCGCGGACGCCGTGAGCGCCACGATGAGGTGGCGCCGCCCGCGCCAGTGCTCCTCCGCTCGGATCAGGCGCGTCGCCTCAAACCCGTCCTGCGTACACAAACATGCGACCTGTTAGCACCAACTATTCCCTCCATGCGTTCTAGAGGCAGAAAAGCGGTGAGCTGTCGGCCGCTCGGGGCGATATGGACAGCTGGCTCCGAGGCTTAGGCTGCCGAGAAAGATTGGAGGAGCCTACTGCGGATAGTACGTTGCAGCCGAAGTGATCGAGGAAGTGCAAGGTGATCACGGTGCACTTTTCGGTGTCACCCTTTCCAAAAATCAATTTAAAGGGAAGGAAAATGCATATATCCCGTCGAGATCCGAGGTACACGGAGAAAGAAGCGGTTTGGATGTCCCGCGGATTCAGGCACAAATCCTGAGACCCAATTGTACTTCTCGCGCCGGCCTCCAGCAGACATCCATACGGATGCTGCGCTTATGATTGGATGCACTCGACCCTTTTGGAGTGTAATGATGGACCAAACGAGCGGCACAACAAGCACCGCCCGCCAGGTGCTAAACCAGAATAGGCTGCTCTTTACTCGACCCTTTCATTGTCACCGACACGAAAAGCCCAACAAACGCCAACTTCTACTTTTCAGAACCAGGCTGCTTCTCCCCAAGGCATCTGATTTAGTGCAACCATTGCTCCAATCTGGCTTGTGTGCACATACTCCGGCTGCTGGCGGCGGCTCACCATGTCCGGCATGTGGCAGTCCATGAGGATGACCGCGAAGCGGCCGCGGCGCGCGGCCGCGGCGGCCTTGTGACCGTCGTCCACCAGCTCGAAGGTGCAGCCCAGGCTGCGCAAGATGCGGGCGGCCACCATCTGGTTCACGCGGTTGTCCTGCACGCGCGCAGCAGGCCGAGTCAGCATCGCGGAATTGACAGAGCGTCGTTCTCTGAATACATCGTATCCCTATCTTTTTTTGTTCGAAGAGGGTGGAAACTTGAGGAGAGGGGAGACAAGAACAACATCGGGGTATCTTTTGATCTCTTACATGTGCTAGTAAGAAGTGCCTTGCAGTATTTCGGTACGGAAAAGAGATCAGGGCGCACCGTAGCGGCTTCAAAAAACGACGCAACAGCAAGAACAGAGCAGGTAACCTTTCGGAGGCTGCAGACCTGGTCGTAATTCGGAAGACTGAGAGACATAAGCCCGTACTAGCACCATGAGCGGCCTCGTATGTTGCGGGTGTGTGTATCGAAAGGAGCAAAGGTTCAGTGTCCAAGAGCGCCGCCTGGTATGAGGCCCGCAACGCCCAGTGTTGAGGAGCCCTCACCTCGGCGACCAGTACGTGGAGGCCCGCCAGGGTGGTCGCCTCGAGGAGCGGCTTGGAGGGCGGCGGCAGCGGGGAAGCGGGGATGAAAGCACGCGGGGAGCTGGTGCCCTTTGATTCCTGCATAGGGACCGGTTGAGGGCATGATGAGCTGGCCGAAGTCGAAGCCAAGCCGTGGAATGCACCGTGATGGCGACACAACCAGCTGGCATAGTGCGCGGGTCACGCCGGCATCGACAGACTTGCTGCCTCTGTCGGGAATCTAACAAGCGGGTGAGTTCGCTACAAAGCCGAATCGAAGCCAAATACGCACGAAAGGAGAGGATGCTCATGTTTTAAGCACCCCGGAAGTAAGCCCGGGCCTCGATCTGGCGCGAGTCGAAGCGGGGCAGCCTTGAAGCCCAAGGCGCGGAGTGGTGCCGAATGGGTCTTCTAGAATACTCTTACAAGCAAAACTTACAACAAGGCCAACTCCCTGAGACCAGTGAGGTAAGTATGAAGGTTTGCAGGTGCGCAGCGCGGATGCCATTCTCGGGTCTCTTTTTCCTACATGAAGCTTGTACTTCTTCTACCTAGAGCTTATTGCAGCTTTTTTTAGAGGTGACGCGTGGCGGCGCGGCTGACCTGCGGGCGCGCGGGCGCGTGGTCGAGCACAGCGAGGCGCACTGTGAAGAAGAAGGACGAGCCAGCACCCAGCTTGCTGGTCATCCAAATGCGGCCACCCATTTCAGCCACGATGCTACGGCAGATGCACAGGCCCAGTCCCGTGCCGCCTGCACAGGGAAGAACACGCGCTGAGACGGGGAGAACAAGAACGACGCAGCGTCTGCTGGGCGGCATGCCCCTGTTCGTTCGCAGCCTCGAATGCATGCGGGTTGATCTCAGTGCCACCATTTCCACGAGTACGACGGGACTGACGGCTCGCGATATATAATCTCTACACACTTGATTACGCGTCATTTTGGGACTTCACATATGCTGCTGCTCTGCAAACCTGTGGACATTTTCCCTTAGCCTTGCACTACGCGGCACAAGTCCTCTGAAAGAAGCCCAGAACATCTTGCGTTTTCGCTCGCAAGCAAGAGCGTCATCAGCCCTGTTGCACGGCCGCCCTGACAGGCCCGCGCGCCCTCACCGTATCGCCGCGAGGTGGAGCTGTCTGCCTGCATGAACGCCTTGAAGATCCTGGAGCGCGCCTCGTCGGGCACCCCGATCCCGGTGTCCCGCACCTCCACCTGCACCAGCCGCGCCGGCAGGCCCGCGCGCAGCGGCGAGATCGGACTGCTGCCCGCGCTGCTGCCGCACCCGCCGTCGTCCTCGCTCCCCGGCTCGCTCCCGCACTCGCCCGCTTCGTTCCTACCACTGCTGGAGCATTCATCAGTCAGACCGTCGGATGGACCCCGGCAATCGTCCTCATTTCCATTGTCGCGATTCTGTGTCGCCCCGTCGCCACAACCAGGTGATCCGTTACTGCTATGGTCGTTCCGCTCCCCAGGTTCTGCCTTTCTTTGGTCATCAGCCCCGTGCACACCATTACTGCTGCAATCACTACGTTGCTCGTCGAGCGCGCCGCCAACCCCGCCGCGTTCTAAACACACCCCTTCTTTTTCTGTGCAATCCGACTGAGACTCCGCCGCACTTCCCGCGACCACCTCGTCCCCGGACCCGCGAGAGAGCGGGTCGTCGTCCATCTCGTCGGCCATTTTGACGTTGACTTTGATGGAGCCCGCGTGCGTGAACTTGAGCGCGTTCCCCACCAGGTTCAGCAGCACCTGCCGCAGGCGCAGGGGATCCCCCACCACGCGACCGGGCACGCCGTCGCTGACGTGGCAGCTCAGCTGCAGGCCCTTCTCGCGCGCGCCCTTCTGCAGCAGCGCGAGCGACTGCCCGACCTCCTCGCGCAGCGCAAACGGCACGCTCTCCAGCCCGATGTTGCGCGCCTCGATCTGCGCAAGCACGGGATGGGGCGCCGCGGTCAACCGTTGGTGGCCAATCGCAGCAATACAGACCGGACTTGACCAGGCGCTGCAGAAGCAGGCTCCTCCCAGAAGTGAAGAATTGAAGAAGCGCGCAGCGAATGTCGAAACGAGGGGCGCGAAGCTAGACCTTCCGAGCCGGTCGAGTAAATCTCTAGTTATTTTGCGGTCCCCCAGACGCTAAAGCTTTGAAGGAGATTGCTTACGAGCGGAGATATGCACCAGTTTCCAACGAAGAGTAATACATCAACGGAGTGAACAGTCGGATTTCTCTTGCCACAACCTTGACTACAATGGAAACTGCCCCCAAACTCGCGAAGCGTCTCGCATGGTTGTGCACACTCCTGACCGATCTCGCGAAGGCCCACCTTGGCGAAGTCGAGGATGTCGTTGATGAGGTTGAGCAGGAAATCGCCGCTGCTGCGGATCGTATCCGCGTACATCTTCTGCTCCGGCGTCAGCTGCGTGGCCAGCAACAGTTCCGCAACGCCGATGACCCCGTTCATGGGCGTGCGGATCTCGTGGCTGCAGTTGGACAGGAACTGGCTCTTCGCCTGGTTCGCCGCCTCCGCCGCCTCCTTGGCCGCGCGCAGCCGCTCCGCGGCGGCCAGCGTCAGCTCCTGCACCAGCCGGCTCTCGCGGATGTCCTCGATCAGGAACACTGCGTACCTGCGCAGAGGTGAAACGTGTCACTCGAGTAATGCACCGTTTCTCCGTCCGACATGTCGCACGGTGTCCTCTTTCTAAGCTTAGATGTCCAAAGACATCCATGAGACAGGCGCCGTGCGCACGTGCTTGAAACTGAGACCCGGAGCACAGCCCATGCGAGAATCTCGTGCAAAAGTCTTGTACACACCCTCGCTGATCCTTCTCCCTGTCCTAGTTTGGCCAAGCACACCACGACATGCAAGTGCTTGACCCCACGCACCCTGCTAGCGGCTCATCTGAACGAATCTCCAAATCTGCTCGAGCGCAGTAACAACGCAACCATCTCCTGAACAAGCGGGGGGCCCGTGCGTTTCCCGGATGGTGGCCCTCACCCCGGCAGGTCCTCGGAGACGCACATGGTGATGGTGATGCGCGTCCAGAGCAGGCTGCCGTCGTGCCTGCGGCAGCGCAGCTCCTGCTTGAAGCGCTCCCCGTGGCCGCCCCGCGCAAACGCCTCCCATGACGTCAGCGCCGACTTGAGGTCCTCGTCGGCAATGAACTCGCAGAACTTGTGGCCCACGATGCGCTCCTCGGGGTAGCCCAGCATGTGACACGTGCCCTTGCTGCATTCGCTGATCCGGTACTCCGACATAGCCACCATCAGAGTGCCCAAGCCCGCAGCGTCAAACAGCGTCCGGTACCGCGCCTCGCTGTGCCGCAGCGCGCGCAGCGAATCCTGCACGAATACGGCCCTCTTATATGCAGTGGCCGCTTTTGTATCAAGGGTCGACAGATGGAGGAAGAAAATGCTGCTACACAAGGACAGGCTTGTTAGCTCAAATGATGTCTCTGGTCAACTTTAAGGAGGGGACGCAAACGTATGTTGACACGTCCTGCAATCATCCTTAGGTGCCTTCACGATACACCCTTCACCGGAAGCACCCCGTGATATCTCAAAACCCGATGCAGCGCCGAGGGGCACACAACTTTAATGCTAAGGGAAAGCACACGCGGAGAGAGACCCACCTTGACTTCCGTGATGTTGGTCGCTATTCCCAGGACAGCCTGCACACACGGGGCTTCTCTTAGACTTCGAGCCGGTGATGATTACTTGGAGACGCACCAAACCAGTTGAGAACGACGAAGGATGCACCAATCCTTCCGAAGCTCACGCTGAATAGGCGGGCTGTTCCATAGCAGCTACGATCTCGAAAACGGACATCCGAAAGGATATTTTCCAGGCTTGAAAACTCGGCCAACGGCCACTGAATTTCTCTCACGGAGGCAAGCTGCCTAGGGCGCAAGTTGCATCACAACCCAATCAAACACTTATATCCGCGTTTTACGAAAATCACAGATATTTGACAACACAATCTGGCCATTCTCCAAACGAAATGAGTGTGGGTGGACGCTTGCAACTTCTGTCCGTACCCTCAATTTGCAATCCTCCATCCACTTTCCTTTTGTGCTCAATTCCTCCGGAGTGATTCCTTTGAGACAACAAAGCAAGAACTATATCGCTCTTGAAAACACAGCGCCCACCTGCGAGCCGTCGAGGAGCGTGTATGGCTGCTTGAACGCTCGGAACCAGCGCTCGCGGCCCTGGGGGTCCACAAACAACCGCTCCGGGATCTCGGACTGCACCCCCTCCTCCAGCACCCGCCGCTCGTCGCGCGCCATTTCGGCGTAGCTGGGCAGGTTGGCGGGGTCGTGGACCACAGAGTGAGGAAGAACCCCGATGAGCTTCGCGGGCGCCGTGTCGTACAGCTCCCCCAGGGCCTTGTTGCACATCACAAAGCGGCCCTGCAGAGGAAATCAAAACCCAGAATCTTCAAGATGCTAGACAGCAATCACCAGAGAACAGCCATCTCAGTTCTCAAATGGCACCACGGATGATCCAAAATTTGGTACTCGGTCTTAGCGTTGAGTAAGACTAACAGGGCCCAGCGGTCCAAGGGGCGGGACATTGTGAAGCTGAGGGCTGCAGGAATAGCAGACGGAAATGGGCAGGCTTGTCTATCGTCACTCTTTAACCTAGGCCACGTCAGAGAGTGTTCGACTTGCAGATCCAACAGTGGCACGCAGCCGGCCAGATTGGAACAAGGTAAGGAAGCAGAACCGACGTCTGGATAACGTGCAAGAGATGGGTACTTGAACAGGCAGTGACCGCAGCCCAGTCTCAGAGAGAGAAGAAAGGCACCACACCTTCCTTTGTGCATACGAGTCACTTGAAGCAACCGACGAAACGGCACAGCACATCTCCCAGCAGACCTAGCAGTCAAGATTTAGGAGGTTGGACAAATTCAGTGCGCAGGCGGCAGAAACCGCACCAACCGATGGGGCGGAGAAGACATTGGCCGTCTCCAAAGGATCCCTAACCTGCTTATCCTTGGCAAATATAAGGTCCGGGTGCAGGTCCAGCGTGTACTGGTGGTGCGCCTTCAGCGTGGCCACCTGGCCCTCCAGCTCCGCCACCTTCGTTCTGGCAGCGGCTAGCTCCGCCTCTAGTTGCGCATTGCGCGACTCCCGCGAGAACGTGACAAGCAGCAACTGCTGGGCCGTAAGCCCCTCCTCATTCGGCACTGCACTGCTTGGTGCAGAGTCTGTGGGGGACGGGATCGAAGGAGGGTATTCGCCGGCCCCACTTATTTCCACTGTCTGCATCTCGACAGACACGGGGATGCGCCAGCTGGCCGTGTCTCCAGGCGTCGGCCCACCGCAACCGTTTAAGTTCAGACGCTCTGCATCCCCGAGCATCATCTTGCTCGCTTCCTGTCCCAGCTCTGTGACGCCCGCCCTGCTACCATCTGCTGACATCACCACCCCGCACCCATGGCAAATGCACTCCTTACAAGGAGAACTGGAGGGACGGTCGCCGGGCATGCCCCGCAGAGCGCTTGTGAATCTTCTTGCTTCATCATTGTCACCCGATTCTACTTGCTTCATAGACTCGTCCTGAGGATAGCTGGCGGCTTGCTTGCCCCCAATTCCAAGTTCTGTCTCCTTCTCCATGGACCAGGTGTTGAGGAATGCAGAGAAGGACGCCAGTTGCTTCTGGCCCCGCTCTAGTTGCCCCACGGCTTCTTCAAAGTGATGGGCAGACAGGGAGGGAACCAAGTCTTGCAGTGTCCAGCGCTGCAAGTGCACAAAATAAGGAGGATTCAACCAACACATCATAACACTTTTTGGACGCTCATCGCTATTTTGGTCCACCAGGTTCTGACACAGGGCTTTTTGGGAAGGACCCTTTCAACTAACAACTTCGCGCGTGGCTCTTGGAGAATCTGCCTGGCCAGTTGTGTACCACAAAGGACCGCAACTTTCTGCACAACGGAGTGTAGACTACTAAACAATAATTGTGGTCCGCAAGAAGCGCCCTGAGCCATATCACCAGAAGAGTAGACACTAACAAACCCTCTTGCACAACTCTGACACTAAACACGACAGCCTGCCTCCACCCCCCCGCCCAACACAGGTGGCCCACACAATCAGCTCACTGGGAAGAATGCTTGCCTGCAGCAGCGTGTTCTCGTCCGGTGCGCCCACCACTCGAATTAAGCCTCGGCTGCCCGCAGCGACGCGGCCCGAGGTTGCGCTGACCAGGCATTGCAAGCTCCACGACTGTCGCACAAAGTGCTCCATCACAAAAAAACTCTGGCGAGACCTGAGAAGAACGCTGTCTGCAGCTCACATGAATCTTCGAGGTTCTTGAAACCGTTCCAGATACCAAGGAAGCATGTGCTGCTGATGAGTCAGAAGCTCAACCAAGGCTCTGACTTTTCCCGCCGAGGATCATCCGGAGTCTTCGAACCTCAGGTCATGAGCCACCCAGCGACAACACGGAAAGTGAGGGTAGCACAGCTCTTCCCAAAGCTGGGGTGGTCAATGACCCTTGGCACAGCTTAAAGTCTTCCCACCTCCTTGTGCTCCCCTCTGAATACTGCTGAAGGCCGTTCAAATACAACGCGTTTACCTCTCCGTGGTGCCTCCATCTATCTATCCGCCCTGGTGCCTCCCTGTAACGATTACGACTGGTTAAGCCTAACCTCGTTCTCGACAGGATTTTGTTGACCGCTGTCACGCCAGATTGGCTCCTTGCCATAGCGTGTCCTGAGCGTGCGCGCGCGCGCAT